GTGCTTGGAGTCCAGCCTTTTTCTTGTGGTGGGAGGGGGTCAAAATAAAGAGTTTTTTTGCTGCTGGATGAAAAATGCTTTGAATCTCTCAACAAGCTCGGCCTGAGCTTGTTGTCAGGGCAGGCTCAGCAGTGCAGCAGGTGAAGGTGAGTGGATGTGATGAGTCATTCTGGCTGTAGAAGTGGGAATAAGCAAGACCTGCTGGCTCATCACTGTCTTCATGCCTCCTGCTGGAAGCTGGTTTCTTCCCCAGTTTGCCCATGGCTTTCTCTTCGTGCTCTTCATTGTGGAAAAACCTTTGTGAAGGATAAGAAATATGGTTAAATGGAGAAGATTATGTTGGAAGCAGAGAAAAGGAGAAAACAGTAATCATGACCTGTACAAGAGCAGGAATAATGTGTATACTGTGAAATTTAGATCTACCTGTGCTACTTCCATCTATCTGTAATGCCACAGTTCTTGCAGTTATGCTCCATTTTCTGTTTTTTCAATCTGATAGAACACAAGGTATTGAACTTCATCATCTGAAGGTATTACACCAAGAATTAGAACAATTACTTTAAAAAGTGCAAAAATAAGCATTAACCTTTGTTGCTGTTCCTATTTGATTTAAGCTGGAAGTCTGATGCTGAAGGTACTTGTTGAATTAGACTGGTAGCTTATCCTGCCTTTCCATCTAAAAGATATCTTCTCTAAAAGTTCAAGACATACATAATTTCATCTGTTTAAAATAACCAGATCATGTCCTTGGCGTGACAGAAAGCAAAAATATAAATTGCTAATTTCTCCCATTTCATCTGCTCTGAACATAGTCCTCAAAGAACCTTGCTGAGACTTTAAAAAGGTGATTCAGAAGGAAAACAAGAATCAAAACGCCTCATGCCCTTCAGCTAAGGGAACTGAGGCACTCTGTTCCAAACTGGATCCAGGTTATTTTTCTCCACTTCATTGGGTGCAATATTGACAATGCCATGCTGACATGAGCTGTACAAAACCTTTCACCATCATTTCCTCTAGTGCAGTTCAGGAACTTGCAAGTCCAGAAAGCCTCATCTCTGATGAGCCAGTCATTTTATCCCCTGCTGTAAGAAGGGGAGGAAGAAGGGGATGGGGAGGGTGTGAGGCAGGGAGAAGCAAAGAATCAGACTAAGAGTGATGAATGCAAACTGGTTTAGCTCTGGAAATCCCTGGATGGGGAGGAAAGGGAGTGTATGTGGCCGGGAGTGATGGTTATCCTCTTTTGTAATAGCAGATTACAGTAGTAATAGAGGCAGGAATGACCTTGCTTTGGTGGTATCACATGCAGCATTAGTACAGCTCTGAGGGATTGGGAATGTAACCTAGAGGAGAAAGCACAAATCTTCCTGCATGAACATTATTGGCTGTGCTTTGAAGTTATAAATCTGATGTCTTGGCAATCTTTAACCAAATCTTTAACCTTGATGGACAACCAGTTTTCTTCAATTTAATGAACAGATAAGAGGCAGTCTGGTCTAGGAAAGTTGTCTTCATAAGCGATGAACAGGGTTTTGTCACATGGCATCTGTTTCAGTAGTTAGTGAAGGGCTTAAATGCACTGATCGTAGAGCAGTCTACATCAGCAGCCTTTGCCTTCTGGATAAAGAAATCTGTTTTAGATAAAGAAATAGAACTGCAGAAAATTTGCTGAGTAATCTGTTCATAGTCCCATTGGTTGGCGGCTCCTCAAAGGGAACGTGTGCCGCAGCAGCACGTTTTGGTGGCAGCAGATGTCTGCTGGGTCCTCTGCTGTGGCCAGGCTGGTGCTGAAGGGTGTTGCTTTCTGCAGTGCTTACCAGGCCTGGTACACTCATACAGTTAGAAAACTCAACCCTTTCCTTCATGTTGAATGGGTAGGAGAACAGGAAAGTATAACAACTTCCTCCTCTTTGAGTCTTTGACTTTGCATCCATGTTTCTTGGAAGACAAAAATGATGAGTTAAGGATAAGCATGGGCCTTAGGTTTTAATCTACCCTGTATTTTGAATGTGCACTGTCAGCCTTTCTCATCAGCATGTTTTGAAATTATTTTAGTTTGCATTATCTTTAGACGTGCATTTTGTCTCCTGCACTTGGTGCATGACATCTGTCACTGTTCATTTCACTAAAGGTTCCCTCGTTATAATCTGATATTTCCTCTTCCTCTCCATGCAATTCTGCACTGGTATTTAATAGCCCACATCTTAATGTGAAAAGGCTGTTACTTATTTAAAATGTATACTTGGAAGTATACGGTAAAGTGAGACTACTTGAAATACTCTAGCTGAAAAAAAATGTAATTCTTGAACATGAACATCAGTAGCTGTTCCCCTGCCATATCAAATTTGAGCTTTGCAATTGTTCAAGTATTTCCAGTTTTAACTTCACCAGGGAGTGGTGATTAGAAATCAGTTTTGTTTTAAGATAGCTGAGGTGACTGTTTGGCTAAGATTGCAGTTTAGATATGTTTCCTTCTGCCTAGTCACAGGATGCAAGATATAGGTTACTGTGTAACTGGTTTATGACTTATCCCTGATATTAACACCTCTTGAAACACTCTTTGTGCAGCTGCAGCAGATGGTCAGGATGAGAGCCGAAGGAGATGGATCAAAGTGGAAGGCATCACAGTAGGCAGAAACTGTGCTTGTGCTAGGATGAGATACCAGAGTATAAATATAACTTCAGCCTAGCATTAGAATAACTTTTGCTGATTTCTTTTTTCCAGTGTATCCAATCAGCACGTACACCCTATCTAAAGAACACGAAGCAATAACCTGACTTGGAGCATGTACGGGTATTTTAAGAAGCTAGTAGAGATATTACCAAAATAATATTTGCACATTAATGCTTAGCATATTTGTTTTTTCCAGTAAATCCATGAGATAAAAGGTATGATTCCCATCTCACAGTCAGTAGGAGAAAGGGAAAAATAAATGACTTGCCATATATTGGGCTATGAAGTGCTGGTGGAATTTGGTTGAAGTGAACCTGCAGTGTTAGGTTTAGTCCTATAGTAAAATGCTGTAAAAGGCAACATGAGAAATTAATTTTCTGTCATAATAGGTGATTCTGTAATCAATGGGATCTTGACCCATCCTTGCTTTCACTCATTAGTTGAAATCTGCCCCATGTTGTAAGGTCCAGGGAGATACTCCATGGCCAGCAGTGGTTTGGACAAGAAAGAGGAGGGGATTCTGTTGATCTGAAGTTCAAATTGTGCTATGCAGCACAGGAATCCCAGCCATGACTGCCAAAATTAACTTTTTTTTTAAATTTGATTTAATAAAGAATGAGTAAGTGGAGAATATGTGAGCTCCTGTTCCTACCAGGAGAACGCTTTACTCTGTGAGATGTGAGGCATATTGTCAAGGTGGTGTGGTGAAGCCTGTACTCCTTTTTCACAAATTCACACCATAAGATTTCAGGAGCTACATGAAAACCTCTCTCCTTGCTTCTTCTTACTTTCTCTCCTTACCTTGCAGTATAGAACAGGCCTGTCTTGGTATGTACTGAATGATCTTAGGCTTTAATCAGCTCAGAGGCCAAGCAGGCTCAGGGAGGGACTTGCTTTCTCCTTAACCACTGGCTGGGTAATTGCCACCTGATAACTGTGTGAGATGTCACTCGTGTTTGTAAAGAGCTGCCTAATACTGAAGTATTTTTTCAGTCAGCGGGTGGCAGGGTTGATAGGATTAATGGTACTGCATCTTATGTAGCACCTCTTTTTTTAAGGCTGCATGGCTTAGAGGAATTAAAAGCAGAGTTTGTAGGCATGTTCACATTAGAAGCTCTGAGTGGTTCTTGTGGAGTTCCTTAGTAATTAATTGTAGTGACAGACACCGTATGTGACCCTCTGATAACACAGAATCTGAAATCATTGTTTTGACAGCAGCACTGCACAAAGTGGGTGTTGGCTTTGTGCGTTTAAGTGTGAAAATGTGTGGTGGCTAAAGAGTTCTCTTCCCAAATATTGCTGAACTTGGCCAGAGTTAATGATGCTAGTAAAGAGCATGGATTAGTCTAGTGTATTAGCTCTTGCTCTTTTAGGATATATGATTAGCAATCCCACGGTCAAAGTCAAAAATGGAATACCTTCTATTTCTGTAGCTGCAGATTGCGTATTAATTGAGAAGGGAAAAACAGTGATGTGTAAATGTGACTAGAGGAAAGAAGTATTGTAGCAACAGCTGTGGAATGAAGTGTCACAAACATAGCTGTGCTAATTTTACTTGCTTGTTTTTACTCCTACCTGCATTTCAAAACTTTTTTTACCTCCTAGGCTGCAAGATCCTTCATTTGTTCAGGCATTATTTATGCAACGGATATTGTAGTAAATTTCCCAGTTTATCTTGCATGTTATGAACTGATTTTATTTTAACAGCTTTTTCAGGTGGATATAAAATAGGAAAATGATGCTATTATTCTGTTTGTCTAAACTGGTTTAACCTTGGTTGAACAAAAGTGGAAATTGAGTTACCTAATCAATTTCAGGTGCTTTATGTTGGTATTGCAAAAAGAATGGCAGAGGAAAGGATCTTTTATTACAAACCTCTCTTGCACTGTAGAGGCATATAGGTGAAAATGTTGTTTGCTTTGACAATGTTTGCATTATTTTTACAGTATTCAAATGGGATAGGCTTCCTATCCTTCTGGTTGATATATTGTAGTATTATAAGATCAGAGGAAAAAAAGTTAATGTCTTCTTGCCTTTTACCACTGACCCTTTGATAATGCAAATAGGTAATTCTTAGGAAAGCAGATAGGAATTACGTGTTGGATTTTTGGATGTTTATTTTAGAGAGAAAATGTAGTCAAAGGTGGCAATATTCTCAGTAATAAAGCAATTGCAATAAATACTAATAAACATGTGAAAGCTGTTGCATTTCCAACTTACTTGTTCTTTGGTTTGTCAACTTCTGTATCTGTATGTTAAAGTGTTCACGATGGTACCTTACCTTTTCCACAGAAAGTTTTTCTAATGGTTTGCTTTTCTCTTGTTTCAGAACAGAGAGCTCCAGATTATGAGAAAATTGGATCATTGTAACATTGTCCGATTGCGTTATTTCTTCTACTCTAGTGGAGAGAAGGTAAGAACAAAAATCAAAGGAATGCATCCTGGTAACTGTCTGGGGTATAACTGGACTGTCTGAATGTATGGAGACAGAATTGTGAAGATATCAGACATTTACTACTGAGCAAACTCTAAAATGGTGCCCAGCAGGTCATAGTGGACCAGATGTTTTTCAGTATAGAAGTGTGCGGTCCATAAGGAGTAGTGTTACACTAAAAATACAGCAAGGCTGCCATAGATTTGCATATGCACTGCCTCTTTCTTAATCTAGTGGATCACAGCTGGGCTTTGTGTTCTAGCACTACCTTTCTATCTGTGCAGATATGTGTTTTCTAGGATTCACTGTTAAGCATTTTAGATATAAAGCATTTATGTGACTTTTCCCAGAACCAGTCTTTGTATGCTTCTGCCCCCCTTCCTTGTGCATCTCTTCCAGGTGCAGGCTGAGTTTCAGAGCCTGAGGAAAGAGTAATGTATGATCATGTGATTGTATCAATTGTCAGAATGTTTGTGCTTCAGAAGAAAGAGCAAATAGCTGGATTTAATAACTCTCAAGAAGTAGATACTCACATTTGTTTTCGTTCAGTCCAGGTTTAAAAGTTCCTTGGTTTTTTTGAGAGGGGGTTACAGAGTTTAGTTTTAATGTGAAATTATAAATGTATTCCTTATCTAAGTATGTATCAGCATTTTACAAATTATATGAGAATTCAGGATGAAATGGACTCAAAATGACACCTGATCCAACTTTATCCTTAAAGCAGGATCATCCACGGAGTAAAAGCGAAGTCATTGTGGTCTGTGTGGGAGTTAATGAAAGCTGTGAGGTTGGGAAATGTGCTAGATGACCTTCTGAATTTTCTCTGATCTTTCTATATATCAAATATTTATATAATTTATAGAAATGCTGCCATTTTTTCATTTTTAAGGCAGATTGCATCCTTAGCTGTCTTCAGATGGTGATACACTTGTCCACAGAGCTATAAAGGGCTGTGTATGAGAGCTGATAGCTACTGGCAGGCTGTTAACTGCAGGTTCATGAAGTGGGTCAGCAGACTGGGAGAGGCAGCCCACCCCTTTCATGGTCTTTGGAGCCAGAAAAGGAGCTGACGTCTCCAGGATAAGTTGCTTTTGTCTTGTGCTGTGCACAGGGGAATAATTGGAGGAGATCTGCTGTTACCTGAGAGGTGTTTTGTGGGGGGACCTGGCCCTGTATCTTGCCTGTGCCTATAGAGAGCCTGCAAAACTACAGCATTCAAGAAGAAATATAATTTAGGGTTTAATTTTTTTAATCAACCTTCCCTTTCCTTCCTCACTCTTGGATGATGCTAACAAGCATTTTCAGCTGTATATGTTTTGTTGGTAGTGCAGTGTTGTTTTTTTAAGCTGTAGTTTGTTCGTAAACAGAAATGCTTCAAGCAGCATGAGTACAAAAAAGAAAATGCTGTGAAGGAGGGCTTGGGTTTGGGATTTTTTTGTTGGTGGTTTGCTTGTGATTTTTAAAACACCTTGTAACTTGAGTGAAGTAGAATTTCCTGGACAGATGAGACAGCTGCCTTATCTAATGGCTTTCAAAAACCTCCTGCAAACAGTGAAATGTTAAAACTGCTCAGAACACTGTCCCAGGAGCTTTTGTGTAACAGTAACTTGAGAAAAACTCTTTTGGAAATCTTTAAATGAAATTGAGCTTGAGACTGGATTTTCCATTCTGCTGTTTCAACTCCTCGTGGCTGATTTTTAGCAGCACTTTCTGCTCCTTGGTCTTCATGCCTCTGCTCTGTGCCTTTGAGATCCCCACTGCTACCCTGTTGCAAAATAGGACAAATGGGAAGCAGTCCCTGGAGCCAGCACACACCCAGCAGAACATGAGCAGTGTAATGCTGCAGTTCAGGTTGCAAGGTCTCTTGCAGTTCAATACAAAATGACACATAATTGGCTTGCAAGTATTTCCATGTAGGTGGCAGCATGTGAAGATAACTCTGTGATGGCGTGCGTGACTCCTGCCCATTCTTGCAGCTCTCAGGAAACACCTGCAGAAGAAGCTGTAGCAAACACAAGCTGAGTGTTAGCACAGCAGCTTGCCACAGCTTTTCCTCCTTGGACTCTGGGGTATAACAGGCTGCTGTTCTTGCCTTGTAGCAGACTGGTTCTCTGCTAGGAGGGAAGGGGCTGGAGTTTGTTTGGGAAAAGCTCTAGACAGAAGCAGGTTGATGTTCTCAAGTTGATGTGGGAAGCAAGGAGAACATTTCTTATCATGCTTTTGTCAGTTTTGGGAAGCAATAGCATCTTTTCCTTCATATTTCCCTCATAATCACACTGTCTGTGGGGTGGAAAAGGAGAAAAGTGTAATGTCCCATCTGCTAACCAGGAAGGATGTTTAGGAAGCAGTTGCAGATACAGATGGTATGTCCCCCCACAGGTTTATATAAACTGATTATTGAAGGCAAGTCCAATGGGAAGAGTAATATAAAAATCCAGGAATTGTATAGCAGAAAATGTAGTGATGAGTTGGGCTTGCAATTGTTGACAGTCTTTGTGAAGAACTTGATGATCCTCTGCCATTAATCTGTGTTTGTGATAATTAACTCACGTCTAGCAGCAATGGGAAAGTCTCAGAGGTAAATCCTATACTGCTGATCTCATTAATTACATTTTGATACTTAAATATATCAAGCATTCTTTTGCATAAATGTTTTTATGCCACTGTGTACTCCATCTGTCCATGTTGCTTGGACTTCTCCCTTCTTCCCTGGTGCTTGACACCAGCATCCCTAAGCCCAGAGACTTCTCTTTCTGGATGGGGTTTGGGTTTTTTTTGTTAGCTGGTTTGGTTTTTCTGTTTGTTTTGTGGGGGCTTTTTTTTTTTTTTTTTTTTGTTGTTGTTGTTGTTGTTGTTTTTGTTTTGTTGGGTTGAGTTTTTTGTTGTTGTTGGGTTTTTTTGGCGGGGGGGATTTTCAAGAAGCTTAAATCTGACTTAATTTAGATATACTTCAAAGGATTTCTCCATATCTAGTCAGACTGGCACTCTTTGAAATACATGAGCCTAACAATCACTTCAGTTCATTTCAATTGCTAGGTATTTTTAGACACTGAGGAACCTTAAAACTGGCTTCATTCTAGCAAAACAGGAGGTTTCATTCTTGATTGGAAAACTGGAAAAGTATCAAATAGAAAAACAAGTCTAAAAAACACTTGCTGGTACAACCATTCTTTAGCTGTGTCCAAGTTGTAGCTCTACTTTGTAGAGATTTGGAGCTCTCCATTAGCTGTTTCTGCAGGCTGTGTGGAACTGGTTGAAGGGTTTGAGCTCCCTATCTTTTCTTTTTTCTTGTGATGAACTCTCCTTTTTATGTCTCCCATTTGCTTAAACTTCTTTCCTTCTTTTGACAAAAGCCATAAAGCCTTAGCAGCATGAAAAATCATGTATCAAACATGGCTTTGACTGATTTCTTCTCCTTTCTTTTCTGTGACTGAGTGACTCCCTCTTGCCTGAGCATCTTTGAATTTATATTGCCTTTATATAGCAAAGTGTATGTGTGTGTATATATATACACATGCACACATAGTTATACCTTTATGTATATATATAGATATAAAAAGTTGTTCTGAGTACTAAGCATTAATTATGTTTGACTAATAATTTCTAGTCTAAAAGAGCTCAGAGAAGGTACATAATTTATATTAAGATGACAGTTGACAGGCTTGGCATTCAAGTTGCTTCTATAAGCTCTTTCCTCCTCCATTCATTCTTTTTGAAAGTTTACAGACATTTGTCAGACCTGTTGGATAACCAGTTTTTTCAAAAGCCACTTCCTTAATGAATTTGTCAGAGTAGATTCTGACTTTTTCTTATTTTGAGGCTGTATGAGATATCTGATAGCAGGGCACTGACTTCCATAGCTGTAATGTGCTTTTCAGTAATCTAAAATGTGTAATTATATCTGGTGGAATGAGCCAGACGGAAAGAAAATACAACCAAATAATGGGTTGAATGGTGTATGAAAGCTTCTTCTTCTGAAAGTAGTCACAAGACTTTTCCATGCTGTATTTCTGTGATTTATAGTTTTCTAGGTAATTCTTAGAGAAAATGAGCAGGATTTTAGGTCTACCCAGCTCCACTGTTTGATAACTTTGGTATTATGCCTTAGGATAAGATCTTGAACAAGATGCCTGGTTTTTCTGTCAGCTTTCCACTGAACATCAGACAGTATTAGGAAGGCATATATTTCAGGGTTGATTTTTGCTACATTTCCTTAATTTCAGGAACTGCTTTACATTTAGCATGATACAAAAATGTAGGTCTTGATTTACTTTTGTGGGGGGGGATGGTCTTGCCACCTGTCCTTTCTAGCCTAATTCTGCTGAGAACCTTTCAAGCCATGTTCCAAGGCAGGGCAAGCATAAATATAGGAAATTATTCCTTTGACTCCTTTGCTAGGAGTATTCCCTGATGTTTTATAGAATGACCTAACTTCTTAAATCAGTGGCTGTCAAGTAAAATTACTCAGCTGTGTAAAACCTGAAATAAGTTCATAATTCTGCCTTTTCTATCCCTCTCTATTTCTGGTTAGAACTTTGTGGCATTTTGTAACTGTCAGTTTTTCTTGTATGGATACTTTAGAGCATTGAATAGACTGCTTGATCCATACCTTTGTCCAAAAGAGGATGAAAAGTTACTGAAGTGATTTGTTTCTGCATCAAATCAAAGTAAATACAATTTTTGTTGAGTAATTGCACCTGTGGTTGTGTCCTTTAGTTTTTCCTTCTTAAGGTGGCTTAGTATTCAGAGGAGTCAAAGCAAAAATGGAAGCACAGACAGATCACAAACAGGCAATATGCTGACACTTTTTTGGAGGCTGAGCTGGCCCTTCTGCATGCTCTAATTGATGTCAGGTCTTATTTAGCCTTAGCTATAAGGGCATGTAGCCAGAAGTCCATGAAGACTCAGGATGGAAATTTACTCCCATAGACTTAGGCTGAAAGTTTAAAATAAACATGCAGGAGATACATGTTGAGCTG